CTGATTTTTTGAGTACAAAAGATTTGCAACCTTTACTAAAAGCTTGCCAAATTTCATGATGATACATTAAAAAATCTGATTTTTTGAGTACAAAAGATTTGCAACCTTTACTAAAAGCTTGCCAAATTTCATGATGATACATTAAGTATTGCAGTATGTATACCTTAATGGTTTCATGTTGGTTACAAGGTCATGTAAAATACATGCCCTAGTGTCCATAGGGTTAAACGTGAAAATTTTTAAAGACTATGAAAATCAAGAACTGTAACAAACTCTACAGTTGTGATGTCATAAAGCTCTGTGAAACCTATAACACCACCTAACTATAAAAAAGTAATTTCATGATAAAATTCTAGGGAAGCTATGGTACTAGAAAATTATGGAAGACCAATGTTATAAAACTCTAGGAATGCGTGTGTGTGTGAAACTATAGTTTTAATATTAAGAAACTAGGGAAGATTGGACATCACAATACTAAAGTAGTAATGCACCATAAAAATTACACAGTTGTGACATTAAGTAACTTTAGAGGGTGATGAGACATTATAACATACAGATGTATCACAAATCTACAAATAATTACAGTACCTTAACTTCTCAATGAACTGTAACAACTGAGTTAGCTGGGAAAACAGATACATCTTGTATTTCAACTGAGATGCCTGTGGTCACGGGTCAAAGGCCATGTCATCGCATTTATAGACTCGCATTCAAAATTTTATTGAACTACTATTTTATGAATGTATGTCAATAAGTTTGGTATCAAATTGTCAATTATAATTCAAATTTTAGTATTATAAATTAGTTAATTTCTTAATTTAAAAGTAAACATTTAAAAAAATCCTAAATATTTTATGTGTTATGTTGAATGCAGCATTGGTTCAAATTAGATGTTTATGATGTCCAAATATAAATGATGTTTTTGATTGTAAGATAGTGTTGAGTGGTGATTATTGGTGCTGAGGAAAGACTAATTTTGGATAGTGTGATGAACTTTATCCACTTGGAGAGGATGTTTCAGGTCTATATGGAGATATTTGCTAACAGTCTTCAAACAAACTCGAGTACAAAGCTCGTTACACTGTTCAAGCTGACGATGGTGTTCTTATTTCAAAAGTTAGTTATAGAACTTACTTAGCTTAAAAAAAAATGCAACTACATGTATTTAACTGCTACATTTCCTTTTCTTGCTACCCCACAAATGTTGTGCCATAAATCTTGAGTCATGTTTTTGTTTATGTGAAATGTACAATTGTCTTGTTTTTCTTCAATTCTGTAATTATGGAGTTTCACCAAGTACCAATGGTTTCAAGTATCAATTTTTATTTTGAAATTTTTGAAAAACAGCTGGTCATTGATTTCTTCAAGTTTAATGTCACAAACAATATGTATATCAAATATGACAGGGCAGTTATTCTAATTGGTTTCTTGTTTTCAGACTTTCTTAATCTAAAAGTTAAAGTTGAATAAATGTTTAGAAATGTTTCTTTTATACATAGTTTTTAAATTTTGCAGTAAACTTATATGCATGTTTATTGGTAAAAGTATGTTTTTCAGTACATCTTTGCAGTTAAAAGTAATTATTTTAACATAAACAGTTCTCAGGATACATCAGTCAAGTAACCAAGATTTGGAGCTATGTTCATTGATTATTTGTACAGCTCTGTTATTTCTGTCATATCTAGATTGTTAATGTAAAAATTATATCTAAATTACTGATATTGACAAGCTAGAATATAAGAACCTCCTATCTCTTCTATTTTCTGAAATATTAAGAAATTTATTGAATCAACCAAGGTGGCCCCACCCACCTCTTACACCTACTTCGCCCATTGACATGTGTATAACCAATCGAAAACTCACAATGTCCCCCTAGTGGTTTTCTCAGCTTCTGCAAAGTATTTGCATGGGAAGCTCTTCCTTTTCATGCTAGATTCCAAGTGGTAAGGTAAAACATTAGTGAGCTCAAAAAATAATATTTTGTAAACCCAAATACAACTTAGTTACTAAGCTTGATTAATTAAAGTGGACTTCTGTGGTATTGATATAGTAATTTGAGATTTTGATATTTCAAAATGCATATATAAAACCTAAAAAATTTTTTTGTTTTACATCCTCCACGTGCAAAGTTTGATAAGGCTTAGCAATTTACGGCAATCAGCAAATGAGTATAAAGTTGGTAAGTAGAAGAGATCATTGTTTTCTATACTTCTTTATTTACTGTTCTATGTTTAAGATAAATAACTGAAATTAAAGAACTTATTTGGAAATAGTAATGTTATATATACATATGTAATGTATTATAACTGAAATGTGACTGTATTTTACAAAGTATTGGTCCACTAGAACAAAGTCAAGGCAGGTCATTTTGTAAAGGCCAGTTTTATATTCTTGGATACGTTAACATGAGTGCACATGCACCACATCATTGCTACTTCTGTAATGTTAGTCAGACACAACTGAAAAGTCAATAAAATAAAAATGATAAATATACATTGATATATAAAGTTACAAAATTTAAGCAATTTAGTCTAAACATTTATGTTTTTATGTTTTAATTTGTAGTCATTCTAGAATGAAAAAAGCATAACTTATATCTATTTCCCAATTTTATATGGTGGTTACGAGGTTGGTCAAATCAACCAAACCTATACAGAGATACAATAGTGAAAATAACATATAAAATATTAATTTTTTTCTAAAAAAAACGTTTGATAATTGTCTAGAGGTTATAAAGATTTTGCATGTGAAATTTGAAAATTTTCCGATGTATAAAAGTATTTTTAATCTTAAAATCAAAATTACTTTGCAAGTTGGATGGTCAACATTCAAAAAGAAATAATGCATGAGAAAAACATTGCTTAATAAATCTTAAACTTAATAAAAAAAATCTGATATTTTGCATACGAAGGCCTTGTAATGTTTACTGATAATCTGCCAAAGTTCGTGAAGATACCCTTTCTGTATTAAAAGTTATAGCATTAAAACTAAAACAAGCACAAAATGGTTACGAGGTCAATCACTGGGGCTGAGCCTGTAGTGAGAGAGTTAAAAGATACATCTGGTATTTCTAATCGATGCATGACTTAAAATCCCATTTATTATTTCAAATATGATCTGGGTCAACATATACAACATATAATGTTTCAACTGTGATGCTCCATCAAAAATGCACATATGAGACATATTTCTGTAAGAGAACAATTAATCTAAACCAGCTGATGATCACCTCATAGACTTACTATGATTATGTTTCATTTCAGCAATTTCTTGCTCATGAAGGCTCCTCAGCCTTTGGACTTCACGCTCAAGAGAATTAATTCGATTGGTAAGATTGTCCACTTGTCCAGCTTTCTCTACCAGCATTCTCAACTATTATAACAAAGAAAATAAATGATTTAATAACAAGAAATAGACACAGTACACTTATAAAAAATTTTTACTCATATTATAAACCATTATGCTTCAAATATTCTTCTTTAGATCTTAAACTTTAATAAACCAGTATTAAATAATTTTCTGAGAAAAATATGTATTTATAAATGCTAACTTAAACATTAATAAATGTACATATCGATCATTTATCAAGTAAATGGAGTATATATTTACTATAAGAATGATCATATCATGTACAGATTGTTTCTGTTATCACTTATACAAGTACTCTTACTGAAATATATCAATAAGTAAATGCATAATTAATATAAACAAAGTAATTTGGAAAATTAAGGTTGAATCTAATTTGGTAGTGTTGCACACAGAAATATACAAACAAGGTTAAATAGGTAACAAGATGTTTCTTTAAAAAAAAGTGACAATTTGAAACTTGCTGGATTTTCGAATGTTTCAGAACATATAAATGCTATCATCAGTAATCCAAAAGATTAATAATATATGATAAATAAATACCATGAAAAAATATTGTATGCAATTTGTTTTGCAGTTGTTTTAACATACCATACTTCAGTCAATATATTTATGTTATTTATGAAATGTTCAAAGTGAAAGCTTTCGTATTTAATTAGTAATGTTACCCAAGTTTAAAAAAAAAAAAGACTACTCTCTGTGTTTCCCCATTCCATATTTTGATAGGTACAAAATATTTTGTGAATTTATGAAGAAAAAAAAACAAATCTGAGGTTTGATTTTTGAAAACAAACTATAAACCTGTTGTAAATCAGGGCTTCCTTATGAACGATGTTTTTTGTTTTTCTTTCACTGACAAGGATAAATTGGCCCTTATGGAGAATATTTAGGTTATCTTATATACGTATGAGTACCCGTTCTAGCGAACAGAAACCTAGCTCTATTCCCCCCCCATCATCCCTCCTCAAATATTAAAATTCCAAACATAAATATGTATGTAACATTATGCTTTAATGTAAATGTAATATATTTTTATGAATGTGATACTGTATTCACATTATGACACTGATGTATGGAATATACTATAAACAAATGCAATATTGTACCTTATAATGTATAAAAAAATATCCACTTCCAGATAAGGAAGCATCCGAAGAAAAAAGTAGAATACAATTCTTACACTGACTTGACTTTAATTTCAACATGCACAATAAGTATTATAATTTAAGCCTTACTCTTTTCACGTAGTCTATTTTATGGCAGACGGCATAATTTTATTTTATAGGCTAGACCTACTGTTTGCTTTTTTACACACGACATTCTAATTCTGTATACATTTATTTTGTGTGTGAGGTTGAATATATGACATATTAGTAGATGTATAGTTAATGAGCTATAACTAAATAGGCCTATAATGCTATGTTCTAAATTAAATGTTAACTCAAACTTGTATTAATATAAAAGTGACTAAAATGTAAAAATTAGAAACTTATTATGTAACTCGATACAGTAATGTAAGCTACACATTCACCGAGTGATTTACATCTTGTGTATCAAGATTCTTAGTTAGACATGGGACAAAGGGAAATAAAACAATAAAATTAAGTACAAACAGATGTATATTGTTACAAACTTTTAAATATTTAGGATAAACAAGCGTAGTATCCATTTACAATTTGCAGTCATTATAGAATGAAAAATGGGGTAATTTGGATTTATTTTGTATGTTTTTATGTCAAATCGAACAAGTCTGTATAGTTAGGGTAGAGAAAACAACAGATAAGATATCAAATTTCACTGAAAAAAAACTTTGATATCTATTTAGGAGGTTTTATAGATTACACACATGAAATTTGAAATATTTCAGATGAAGTATTTTTAATCTTAACATGAAAAACATTTTGCACTCAGAGCAATCAAAACTCAGTCTCCATATATTCACAGGTTTTTATTAAAAATACTTAATTGAAAAATATGATTTCTCGTGTATAAAAGACTTGTGATATTTCCTGAAAGCTTGCCAAATTTCGTGAAAATACACAAAATATGTTAAAGGTTATAGTACTGAAACTCTGATGGTCACTTTAGGGTTATGAACTTGGTCAAATAATGTCTTTTTTATAGCAAAGCCACATCAAGCTATCTGCTGTGTCCATTGAGGGGAATCAAACCCCTGATTTTAGCATTGTAAATCCATAGACTTACTACTGTCCCACCAGGGGACCTATTGAATTGACCAAGTCTGTAGTGAGAGGGTTAATATAATGTTCATCATTCATACTGAAGAATTCAGAATTTTTTGATACTCTTATTATTTCTGATTTTAATTTAAGAAACTGCTTAACCAACCAATAATTTAGAAAGTTTCATAGCTATACCAACTTAAGTATTTACTTCAATGTTATAAAGCATTTCATTCTTTATGTCATATTTATAATTTTAAATATTTTTAAGTTTATAATATGCTATAAACAGAATTCTAGTACAGTCAAAAAGTTACTTCACCTAGATAAAAAACTTGAAAGTGCTTTATTCTCATTTTTAGTGACTGGTATTTAGTATGGAAAGTGAATACTGTTCTACCATTCCTTAAATATTTTCCAATAAAAATATAATTATTTTAAATGATCAAAATACTTACATTTTTGAGAAGGAAATTTTAAGTAAAAGACAGAACAATATATAAGTACATCTAAACATCTTGAGTAAACTTAACATATAATGTGTAAAATATACTTTTTCATTAATAAAACAACTAAAATAACAGATGGCAAGTTTCAAACGACAACCAGCTCATTATTATGATTCCTATGAAGCTATTAGTAGTTCTCCTTATGCATTTTTAAACAAGAGCAGTGATTCACATTTGTAAATCTATAAAACATTCATTACCTAATCTTCCTTAAATGCCAAAAATTAGTTTTAAGCCAGCAATATTAACTCGCAAAGTGTTTTAACATATACTCAAAAAATAAGATTGTTCATTACTTTATATGATTTCAAAGAACTTCCAGCTATATTGACTATGAAATATTGTCAAAACTAGAAGCTATAAGCATTTTTCTCAACTTCCAACTATATTGACTATGAAATATTGTCAAAACTAGAAGCTATAAGCATTTTTCTCATCAACTTCCAGCTATATTGACTATGAAATATTGTCAAAACTAGAAGCCATAAGCATTTTTCTCATCAACCAAATGATAATTGTTAATGTGCTAAACTCAGCCTGAATAATTCAATTTATTTATAAAATTATTTTATTAACACTTGATTTAGTTCTGAACATAACATCTAACTAATAAGGTTGACTTCATTACTAAGTGAGTTTGTAATTTCATTGTTTTAAAGCCCACAGCAAAATTTCAAAAGTAATATGGAAAAAGATAACTCACAAATAAAATTTCAAAATATTGATTATATAACCTGAAGTTAAATTTATACAAACTGAGCAACTAAATAAATCAAAGACTCCACATATTAATTTTAATTGAACAATACATACCTCAGAAGGTGGTATATTTGAGTCTTTCATTCCAAACATCTCTGAGTTTCTATCCACTGAAGATGTAGCTTCTTTACATACATGAAATTAAATGTTAACAAAATAAAATTTCTGTATTTTGACAAGGAAAAAAATAAGATTGCTTAAGATACATGACAACCACATCTGTGCTTAAAACATTTCTGAAAACAACCAAAATGACATAATTGTACCAAAACCAAAATCTTGAAAAATCCAAAAGAAATTTTAAACTTCTTTTTCTTTTACTTTTCTTGTAAAAATCATTCCGACAGATAATAAAATAAAAAAAGAAAAACGTTTTCTAAACATCACAAAAATTAGCAATGGGCTTTAAACCTGATTTTTCTAAGTAAAACTATTAAAATAACATGAAAGTTGTATAATATTTATTTTACTGTGTAATTGATACTTATATAATTAAACAATCAAGTTTGATGGACTTAGATAGAAAAAACAACCAAATATGAAATAAATTCCAAAAGATCAAAATTCTCTTTCATGATGTCAGAAAAACATGTAGATTCAAGAAGTCTTGATACAAAATGATGAAAACACTATGACCCAAGCGCTTTCGAAAGGCGAACCTTTCTTCTTCAGGGGCAAACTGGGAATGGTGATGTAATCAATTCAGTGATATATAAAAGTAGATGAGTGATGTCATGAAGGTCATCCAATTTTCCGGGAAATGTTTAGTATATTTTTCCATGTACTGTTGTAAGTGTTTCATTTCCAGTTCAATGTAGCCGGTGACGAGAACATTATGTAAAAAGGTGTTAGGGATATTTGAGAATTGGTTAAATATATATATATATATAACTATACTTAAGTGTTTAAGTAAAATAAAGATGACACATAGAAACTGACTAAAAAAGAGATGTTAAGCTAATCAATTTATACAAACAGGTATGGAAAAATTACCTTAAATAAATAATAAATTTTAGGAAAGTTAGGGTTCATGCTACATGAAAGAAATAAAGAATAAAAATTATTTTTCTGACAGATATGAAACCAATGATTGGAGATCACTGATTCCAGGATCAAGATTAACTCCAAAAGGTCAAACAGTGTTTAGATTAGTGACCTAATAAGCTCCTTTTATTTCTCTATCAGCTTTAGTTTTGAATACTGTTTCAACACCGATCAGAGTAACATCATTAATGGAATGACCAGGTTGGTTAAAGTGTTAAGCAACAGGGTGATCTTTTTTTGGTGTTAATAGAAGACTTATGGTTGTTAAAAATATCACTAAGAGTTGTTTGTATATGTCCTACATACTGGTGACTGCATTTTTTACACCATACAAGGTAAATGGTGTTTAGTGTTACACAAGTGATTTCTTTAAATATTTTAAACTTTCTTTCGTTGTGCTTGTCAGAAAACGAGTCAGTAGTTTTTATGAACTTGCAGGTTTGACAAAGAGCATTATTTCATGGATGACAACCATTTTTTGGTGGGATGTAATTCACTTTTGTTGTTAGGCTTTTCGGTCTATCTATCGATTTTGGTATATTTATATCCTCTCAACATGAAACAAATGGTGAATCACTCAACTTCAGCAGAAAACAACTATTTCAAAAACTTATAAAACTCACTGAAAAACACACACAGGTCATTGTCAACATACCAAGTCGCTAGTGCATAACATAAAAAAATGAAACATACCTCAATCTCTAGCACTAAAAGTACCAATCACAGTGGGAGTACATGATCAGAATTTCTGAAACAAGTGGCAATAGATCCTTGAAAATACCTACTTAGAACTCATGTAATAGCCCCTTCTAACATAAAACATTCATGCACTCAGATCATAAATACGTGTTAAAATCATGGACATAGAACTTCCAACATAACGGTATCCCTTGTATTTAATGGCATCCAAAAACAAAGGAATACAGATTAACTTGAGACACCAGGATCAGCCTAAAAGAAATCAAGCAAAGTATGGCATCTTCTAACAAGTGAGAATCCAAGAAAACAAAGTTCAGTAGCAAAAGCAAATCATGTGTTCCAGGCAACAGTACACAACATAATCAAGAAGAATCTCCATCTAGAAAAGGAAAACAAGTCACATTTATACAAGTTGTTTCCACAACATATCCATTCAACTGTCACATACCTCAAATAGCTGAAGAATAAAACAGCTATTCATGGTATTTCGTGTGGGAGCATACTGGTCAAGTTGCCAGATGCAGTGCTTAGGGATTTCTGTGGGATCAGACTGTTGAAACAGCCATTGGAATATTGTTGTTTTTGTACACTAGAAGGGTTATAAAAAGTATGCAGTGAAGAGTGATTTGTTTTGGACATAACAGCTTTATGACAAAGCCTTTTGGGATGGAAATATGCTGCAGGACTATTGTCAAGATGCATGGTCATCAGATAGAGCATGACTGAGTATGGTGACATTAGGCTGTAATCATGTGATGAGGCTTCAAAATACTTCAATATAATATATTCAACTTTCTATAGTCAAAAGAACCTCTAGTTTTTGATGACTACCTTCAAACATGAGAAAAGAAATGTGATTCTAATGTAAACAAAAACAAAAGTAGATAAAAGTAGAAGATTAATATCATCAACCAATGAATTTGAATATTCAGTGAAGGATTAAAGTTTTCATTTTAAGGCAAATTTACTTATACTATTGTGGAAACAATTTTCTTATCTGCCTTTAAGCTTACAAATATCTGATATGTATCATTCAGCTACGAAATGTGCAAGGAGCCATGAGAATGCTTACGTAATTAAATACACAAAGAAGATGGAGACTCATGCTAAAACAATCAGGATTGAGATTTTCTTGTTCATATTAAAATTTACTGACCTAAAGCTTATTTATGCTATCAGAAACTTCTCATATGAACTACTTTATGATTCAGAGTATTTTTATGAGCTAAAAACCTTTGTTCAAAGTCAACAAGCAGAGACACATTTGATTAAGCTTGCAATGCAAGTAAAAGAAATTCATAACAACTCACCTTTCGAATTTGTATCATTTGATAAATCATCGGTTCCTTTGGCATTTGATGGAAGTTTTTGTTGTGATTTTTTGCCTTGAATTTTTTTACTATAGGCATAATCATCTGGTTCTCTGTTATTTTGTGCTACGACCTTAGACTTATTCAAACATGTTTTTCTAACATTTCTTCTCTGCTTTTGCACAGTAATTGGTGTATTATTATTCACAACATTAATTTTAACATCTTTATTTTTGGCATCATTTGAAATCTTTCTTAATTTGTTGCTTTCTGGTCTGTTCTTGTTGTGCTCCAAAAGCTTGGAAGACCTACTAGAGAATTTTCCTTCCACTTTCTCAGACTCATCATTACTACATTCATTCACACCATCTTCATCTATGACAAGGTCACCACCTACTAATTCATCATCAGAATCATCTCTCTCTTTTCTATTGCCAGTTTTTACAGATGATGATTTGGAAATTTCAGAAACACTGCTTTTCTGACTATTCTGAACAGACAAACTGGTTTTGTTTCTACCTTCATGGGATTTAATAGTTTCATTTTCCACCTCTGACTCTTGTTTTAACCTTTTAGAAGCTAGATGCTCTTCTACCTCCTGGGCATATTTTCCAGGACATCCTCTTTTTTTTGGTGAATTTACTTCTGGAGTTTTCAATGTAGGTGTTGATGTTAATGATGATTTTGTCTGCTGTGAGCATTTCTTAGGACGTCCCCTTTTTTTTGGAGAGTCTGTATCTGGAGCTATGTTAGAAGGTGATGGCAATGAAGGTGATTTTATCTGTTGTGTGTATTTCCTGGGGCGCCCCCTTTTTCTTACTGTATCAGATTCTGAAGCACTTTCCACAGGCGATAACAGAGAACCTTCGGTTTTAACTGAATGAGAATACTCCTGTTTGATTTCACTTTTCTCCTCTAAAATAAATTAGACAAAAACATTAACAAGCAAAATAAATGGTTATTACAAAGAATACAACAAACAGTATTAAAATATATTCTTCTGTTATAAGTGAATCAAAACAGTTAAAACAAATGCATCACCAAACTATGCTGCCTGATTTTTTATGTTAGTGTTAGTAAATATATATGCAAGCTTCTGATTGAAGAATATATGTTTGTAAAAAATAATAATAATAAAATTGATTACAGTATTTAAGGAAAAGTTAACATTTTCCTTATATGAAAATATATTTCCAATAGATACTTACCTCCAAACACATAGTAGCTATCTTCCTCAGCATGTCTACCACATAAATTTGCATGTCATTAGCCTTGAGGCAACTCCCACCATATTTCACATGATTTTACATGAATTGCACCACAGCATGATGTCATCATGCAACCAAACTCCTCCACCAATAGAAAAAGGACACACCTCCATGTGCACTAACTTCCCTTATGCAGTTACACTCACAAATCTTCACTCTTTGAAGAGGCAAGTAATAAAATGTGCACCAGAAGTAGGGAAAATGGGCAAGAATCTGTGAGGAGGCAAGTAACTGTCACAAATACATTTTCAGTTAAGGAAAATGTTAACTTCCAAGATGATAACTCACTACTTCTCATAGATTAGCTAGAATCCCATGCTGGTGAAGAGACTAGTGCAAAATTTACCCAGATGAGCACCCTTCAGAAAGCATCTGAAGGATGCCTAAGGGGTGTGATACCCAATGACACATACATGAGAGACCACATCTCATCTTATCCAGGGTATACTCTTGACCCATATAGAAAAAGAGAAAAGACATAGAAGTCAAATTTGTGTTGCAGGGATGGGTGGAATTAGAACATGACCATCCAAATACTTGCACACTAGTTGTCAGACAGCCAATATGTGTAGTGTGGTTGGGACTCGTTCAGACCATACCTTGTGTGCTCATCTCAACTCTACCATCAGACTCTACAAAACTGACAACAGTTGTAACAGGAGAGCACATGTAATAAGTATCTATGCTCACCTCAACTCTACAATCAGACTCTACAGGACTGACAACAGTTGTGGGAGGAGAGCACATCTAATAAGTATCTGTTCTCACCTCAACTCTACTGTCAGACTACAACTGCAAGAGGGGGCACATTGTTATGTAATATGGATACTTGTGTATGCCACAACTCTACCATCAGGTTCTATGGGACTAACACAGGCTTATATAGTGTGGTCACATCAACTCTACCATCAGGTTCTATGGGACT